CCGTGACATTAATAACAAGAACCAAATGCAAGATGAAATGCGCCATGTTAGGGATTTCCAGACATGTAACATCTTGATTTTGAAGGCTGTATCGGAAACAGCTCTCAGAAGTGCTGCCTTGCCTATTCCACATTTAATTGTCACTCAATGTGGGCAGGCAGCACTGCGTTCAATAATTGGCAAAATTCCAGCCTGTTGTAAAAAAAAAATGGGGGGGGGGCAAATACAACATGATGTTAGGGAGAAAAAAAATCAAAAGCCAAAATCTGTCAGGGGTGGCAAGTTAAACCCCCATACACCATTAGCTTTAATAGAGAGGTCAACACTGACCCTTATATACGGTCGACTCATTATAAACAATACTGTTATAACAAAATACTGTTATAAAGAACAGATTTCAGGAATCCCAATTTCTTGAATTGTTATGTGTTTCTCTGTGTTTACGCTCTTTTATAACAAAGTCCTGGTTATTACAAAGTAATATGTCTGGTCCCTGCAACTTTGTTATGAGTCGACTGTACATGTAATTCATCTTGCATGGCAAATTTGTAAACAGGGCAACAGACTTAAGCAACTTCTAGTACATGGTACACACGACTGGTGCTAATTAACAAGACAGTTTAGTGCAAGGGTCCTGGGTCTGTGTTTTTAACAGCTAATCTTATTCTAAAAATATCATGATTTTCTAGTGGATTGAAAGACAACAAAACAATGCCCTCAGCAGAAATGTTTGACCCTCAATTAAACCAAACCAACTGCACTTTTTGTTTTACTGCACCACCTATTGAAATTGTTACTGTTTTCTTAAGAAGCCGGTGTATAATTCACTACCATTTTAATTCACTACTGGAGATCTGACAAGTTCATCATATTTTGTGGTGTTGTACTTTCCAATGATGTATTGACAAAAGTTTTTCAAAGCCGATGGGAAGCTTTTCGCAATAAGCAAATTGCTGTTGTGGTCGAGTCCAAAGTCCTTTCACAGGACCAATTAAAGGTAACAGGGTGAACAGTGACAAAGGAATGCTTTTTGCTGTAGCCAATTTGAATAGCCTGTGACTTGGCATTAGAGAGGATGACCTGTGATGGACTTGCAGGAAGTCATGAGGGACTCAAAACAGTAATGCAGCTCCCTTAAAGCAACGAGTCATTATCCACTAATAAAGACCTACAACTAGATTGCAATTTGCACAGTTAAAACAGTACAATACAAACAATATTCCAGAAACAAAATTACACTTATGCATAATTGATACAAAAGATAATAATGACACAGTTTCAATTTGAGTGCTACTTTAATTCACACAAACTCCAGATCTGGGCCCAATTTCACGGCACTCCTTACTATTAATCAGGTTTTTGCTATTTCACAGCAAAATTTTCATGGTTGCAGCTTAGCACATACTTTCCAAGGGCACAAATGGAGATTCCCATTTTAATTACTGGTTTGCCATTATCAGATGTATTTCCATAAACACTGTATACTCCGTGCTTGTCTGAAAGCTTGTGCAAAATATCACAAGCTTCCTCAGGTGGGACTTGAACCCATGACCTCCCGCTTATTAGCGCAGACCACTGGGCATGTTGGGATTATCTGGCCAGTCTGAGATGTAGCAGCAGGTATCGCAAACTATTTCAAGATGTACTTTGTCGGGGAGATGTTAATTTTAATTAGGGGTTTTGCCAGTGGTGCATCCAGTGGGGCGGAGGGGACGGGGGGACTTTTCTTTTAATAAATATTTCATATGTGAGTAGGAAGGAGGTAATTGGTGTATTTGTCAAATGTTAGCACCAAAACTTTAAGAAAACAATGCCATTTCGTGTTTCCTCTCTCAACATCATGAGGAATGAGCCTGAAGCTGCATTCGCTTTTGAATTCCCCCCCCCTCCCACACCAAAAGGTGGATACGCCATTGGGCCCTTATTCGACATACATCCATAAACACTGTATATTCAATGCTTGTCCAAGAGCTTGTGAAAAAAAATTCACAAGCTTACTTGGGTGACACTGGAATTGACCCATGACCTCCTGCTTACTTATGCAGACATCTTAACCACTGAGCTTGCCAGAGGTCGTGGGTTCAAGTCCCACCCGAGTAAAGCTTATGATTTTTTTTAAAGCTGTGTGTACAGTGTTTATGAATATATGTGTACCTTGGGTAAGGCAAAACCCTTGATTAAAACTAACATTTCAAACGCAAAGTACATCTTAAAGAGATTTCCATTGTTACACCAGTAAGTTAAGCAAATATTTCCTCCAAGGCAAGCATGCCTTTCCTTGTGCTGTTTACAGTCCCCATGAAATACTGTACATGAAGCCTCTGTTAAAGTGAAATAATGTGCTTAGCAGCACCAAGAAACTGGGCCCCAGCATACATGATAGCACCAGTCTGAGTAAAAAGTTACAATCAACAAGGCCCTTTTCCAACTCTCGACTTGGGCTCCGTCTCAGGCTTCGTTCCCAAAACAAATCCCCGATTGTGGGCCTGAAGCGTTTAAATTAAATTGGCTTACTGTAATTTCTGGCTCTCTTGCATCTTACTTGATGTTTTGTGGCACTGTTAGACTGATTACTGTGCTTACAGCTTCAAAGTCAGCTAGAAAAAAACAGTTGAAGCCTGAGACGGAGCCGAAGTTGAGTATTGGAAAACGGCCAAAGTCACTAACTGACCTGAGTAAAGGTAGCAATTCAACACACATGCAATTTCAGATTGGCTTTTCCTTTGAGTTGCTGCAAATTGGAAACTCGGCAAGTTTTTCCCCATTTTTAAGGCTTAATTTGTAACAAATTAAACCAAATAGGTTACCTAAGGTGCCAGTCATTTCAACGTTTTATGTTTTAAATTTTATTTTGTCAACATGATTTTTGATCATTAATAATATTTCATATAACCTGCCTTTCTTCCTTGGTTTAACCACACTGAAGAAAAATTTGGGAGCCAAAATATATACATTAAATCTGGATAAATTGCACGTTAAGTCAATGGCCATGTTGCACTTGAAAGATTTGATAAGTACATTAGGCAGTGCCCAGTAGCCAAGCATTGTCATCATCACCAATGCGCATATATGAAGGTGCTTGCAAAAAATAATCCCAATTAAACACTGAGTATACTTACATGCAGTGGCATATCTAGTGTGTGTGGGGGGGTGGGGGATACTTGCCTGATGATTTTTTTTCACTTATGTCCCTTTTGTACTAAATAAATAAGCCCGAAGCCACACTGTTTTTTAATCTGTCCCCCTCTGACACCAAAAGCTGGATACACCACTGCTTACATGTCAACTTAGTGTTGTACTATTTTTCCAATTTTATTGTTGTCTTATGCTTTTAAAACATCAAAGACTTCAACCTCAAAGACTTTTCACATCAAATTGGTTACCTGTGACTAAATATTGGTATATAAATGAAATGTTAACTTTCAGATGTTAAAAGTAGAAAAAAGACAAGCTTTATCCAACGTTATTTCATTCTGATCACTGAAAATATTATCCACAACATTTTATGTTGCTTAATGTTTACTGTTTGCTGTACACTGTTTTGTTGGGAATCACACTTTAAGGTTTTGTAAAGTGTGAACTTTTAATATACACTGTATGCAAACCCTTGGAAAAAAAGGAATTCTTGCTCTGTTATAACTCTTACAAGTGTTCAATACTTCAGTCATCTGGTCATACACACACAGTTGCAAAACAAATACAATGGCACATTTTTACACACAATTTTGAACTAAAAAAACTTTTGACAAAAAACAACGAAACAGACAAGTGTGAGACACTACACACCATGACCACAAAGTTCATGCTGTGGAGTCCTCACGGTGGCAGTCAATTCAATTCATGCTGAATCACATTTGCTAATTGCACTGCAGCAACATCAGAAATCACATTTCTAACCATTCTAATAAACAAACACTGGCAAGTGGCAGCTCGAAGCAGTGGACGTCAAGAAAATAGTCTTTACCATTATGGTTATAAAAGCTATTATTACACATTGACAATCACAAACATATTTACGTGAATAGAAATGGGTTACTCCATAAATTCGGGAAGCAACTTGTGACTTTTGACCTACAATCGAAAACTGACAGGAGATTCACTCAGATTTTCAAGTCTAACTCAAATCAAACCGAATTTACCCCCAGAAAGGCCAAAATACAAGATGAAAACCCAGTGTAAAATATATTTTATGCCATTTGGGGGGTACAGTGTATTCTGTCTTTCCCAAGAAAACATAATATCATAGATTTATTTGGTCCCTTAACATGTGAGACTCTGTCGGGACACAGACAAATAGTTTCAAATTGTATTCTGTACTAAAAGATATTTAGGTTAATGTACCAAAATTTAAGTCACTAAAATTATTTGAATGAATTTTGCTCTAGGTAGTATACATATATAATGGGCAAGGAGAAGAAATATCGGTGTAAGGGGGGACACCAAAGTTTACTGGGCTCATCACCAAAATGTACACTGACCATTTCCACGCTCTCTTTGGCAACATTAACATATTTGTTAAATTTAAGGGAACTTTACGGTAGAAATGAGGAAAATCTAGGTAAACCCTACTCATCCAATACTCTCTTTCCATATTAAAATGTATGAAGTGCTGAACCTGGGAGTTCGGCAATATAGTGGTAAGAAAGGACATATGAAGCAAGATATGAGACGGAGAGAACCCCCCTGCTTTGTGTTGGCCATTATTTCACTAGAATCTGAGGAATTCTTTTCAGGCATGTACGGGGATATGTTAGGTAACAATAGTCTAGAGTGTGTACGGCGATTGGACATGTTGAGGGGAGGTGACCCCTCGGTCTCATTTCTGGCTGGATATAAGAAAGGGATAAAGGATCAGCACAAAGGGAAAGCAAAGCCAGCCACTTGCCCCTCTAAGGCCACTGTGCAGTAAAAATTCTTTGGCAAATTTCCCATTACCCACTCTTTTGAGATACATGTATACTTGATTATCATGTTCACAATTTCTTGGCAACATTCTGCACAATTTCCACAATAAAAAGTTTAAGACCCAATTAAGACGTCGAGTCCAAATCAAGTAAATTGACTAAATCTTCATTTCTGTCTAAAATCTGTGCTACGTGTAGGCACAGTTGGTAAATCGAATCCCCTTTTGTTTCAAGTTCTTCAGATGACACAAAAACTTTCTTTGAATTTTTCAGCCTTTTTACGATCTTGAGTCGCCAGAGTATCAACAAATTCAGAAACGGTTACGGTTCTTTGGTTATTTTCATACCAACTCTGAAAGGCTTCCTCCCACTCCTCCAAGGAACTTGGACTGCTTGGCACACCTAGGCTGCTCATAAAACACTGAAATTCCTCCTGGGGCAACAGCTTTTTAGCGAACAAAAAATGCTCCTCCGTGCACGTTTTTGTTCTCCCTAGGGAAATAAAAATCAAGTGTGAAACAGAAAAAGTGTTGACATTTTGTATGCAACTTTTCACATCCCAAGTTTGAGTGAAACCACAAACTAAATTCTGTTATTTGCAATAAACCAATTTTTACCCACACTGACTATATTTTAAGGCGTTCATACATTATATTTTATGAAGTCAGCAGGAGGAGGTGGAATTGACTATATTTTAGTCCTTTTTTCACAGCTGTACATTGCTCCAAATATCTTTTGTACCGGTATCCAATGTTATGGTGGCAGCGCCGACGTCCTGGCCAAACCTTGTGCTTTTAGTGTCGCACCTTTGCTACAGGCAAAGTAAAGCAGAGACATACCCCTCTACATGTATATTGTTTGGGTACACTTTACATCATGGAATGCAATTACATGCAAGTTTACTACAGGGCAGGAAAACTGTCTTCAAGTTTTGGCCTACGTGTCTCACTAAAGACCTCTCAAAAACAAAAACGATCCATTTGTGTACTGTATTAGAATTCAGAAAGTCAACCTGTCTAGTCTATGGGGACATTTCAGTGAGCACTGAGGCAGACCAGGGGCATCAAGGCAATTTCCCCCATGCCTCCATGAAGTTCCTGCCCTGTAATTGTGCAAGATGTCACTGACTATGAGCAATGAGTGAGTTACAACCATGAAAAATGTTGCTGATAATGAGATTTTACCAATAGTTCATCAGAGGACACCAAGCATCCACAATCATTCCCCATGTGAGAACTCTCGCCCATTCAGCTGGACCAATGTATAAAAGAGTGGCATGTAGGCCAAAAAACGAAATATCACACTGCCCACAAGACTGGCCGCTTCACTTTCCATACATGTACCAGCTTGCTCGGATTCCATGACCCCTCCTTAACCACTTCATGCCGGGGCATTTTTCAATGTTGATGATGCTGGGCCGGCATTACAATCATTTTTTCCGTTTTCAAAATCCTTCAAAAATTCATCATTTCATTTAACAGTCATTTATAGCCCCACCAAGTAATCTTCAGGCACTACTCTAAGTGACAGGTGGCCTTCATTGATGCCTGAATATTTCAGCCAGGCCTGCAGCCTTGTAAACAGAGCCCAGATTGTGCGGTGTTGTATAACTGTCTTTTGTTCACGAACCTGGCTCAGTGCACCGCTGACCTCTTTTCAATAGGGGCCAGATTAGCGTGCAGCGATGCTGTGTGTCTCATCGCTGCGGTGGTGGAGTGCTTTTGTCTCCGGTGGTAATCCGCTCGCTCTCAATGCCCCAAACCCAGGTATAAGGTTTCAAAACAAGGCTGGATTATTACCACTTTTGAGAGTGAAAACTGGGTCCTGTTTCCTTTGTCCGAGTTCGGAGACCCCGGCCACCAATATAAACCATACGTCTCCGATCCCGGAGTCCCCGGCAAGAAGTGGTTCATAGATTTTGAACACCACATACAGTATAGCACCACTGCAAAGTCAAGAACCAACTACTTGTAGCTCAAATGTTAGATACGGGACTGATGACGGTGAAATGCTATGTAACAAAGGGCTTGAACAATTGGTAGTTCTGCAAGATACCTACCAGATGAACCATCAGCTCGTTCCATAGCACTCAACTTTGGCCCATTTGAAGGTGGGGGAACTTGGTTAACATCATCACCATCCGGGTGGCTCTGATGGCTGTCTTCCACATGATTTGGGATTGTGATTGAACAGCTTCCCCCTGCTTGGCTAAGGCTGGAAAAGGTCTGGATCTTTTCGTCCTCTGCTAAATTGGGTCCATCCCCACCTGAGCATCCTCCTAGAAAAGGGTCACTTTCCCCAGCACCCACAGATGGGTTATTTGAAGCAGGGAGTGGAGAAGGTGGCCCTGTGACAGTGAACAGCACGTTTCAGGGGTGGATCTAAGAATTTTTCCAGGGGGGAGGGCGTGTTAGACCAGAGATTTTTTTCAATGTCTCAGTTTTGCAGATAACCATAAATGATAAAACATTGTGCATGACAGGCATTGGGTACAGTGATATTGGTGCACTTAGTTTAGTTTCTAGTATTTCCCCCACTTTTCCCTCTTTTTTTATCTGGGGAACTGCGGAGGGGGGTTCAATCCTCCCACGCCCCTTCCCTGGATTCACGCCTGCATTTACCCTGATCCCTAAGCATGCCTGCCAGGAAACCTGGCCATTGTTGAACCCAACCCTGTGAAGTACTCACACCCAGTGGCACTTTTTGGTACAAAACAGAGTGAATGGTGATGTTGAGAAGTACAAGGGGTTGTTTGGCCAGCTTGGTCAGTCTCCAAGTATACCAGACTACTGCAATGACAAGGTCTCAGAGTCAAGTCAGTCCTTAAAATGGCCAGCCTGTCTGAAACTAGCTTAGAGTGGTCCGCTTTTGGGATTTTAAACTTTGTTTAGGTATGGGATTATTTTGTTGCTGGAGTGGAAGTTATTGTTAATCTGAATAGCACTAGTGAGCACAGCATGCACTGCACTGCACTAAAGCACCTGTCCCTTAACATGGGACTTTTCTTCATAAATCACTGCTCAAAGTGGGCTAAGTAAAGGCCGGATAATTGCAATGGCTTCAGTTCATTGTCTTGTCCAAGACTGGTAAGAGGTCAATTAGTTACAACTTACCATTTAAGCCGTAAGTCGTTTCCAGTTCAATAGCAGCATCAACTTTAGTGGGTCCAGCGTCACAACCTGCAATGGAGGAACAATTAAGAATTTCGTCAGAATGAGCATACTACATGTCCAGTACATATTAGGCTGGCATACCAAAACACAAAATAGGATATTGATGCGTGCATAAGAGGTCTGAATAGTACCTCAAATGTGAACGCCAACTGAAATAACTGATGACCAATGGAAACAAAGTTTATGATAGCAAAATATTCAACACACTGGCAAAGATTAGCATACATGTACATGTAACACTGAAGTGTTTTTTATTTGTAACTTTGAGTTTATCCAGCCCTAGGATTCATTTCTAGAGTGATACCATTACTCTCAACTTTTTTTCCCCACCCCTTTAATCCCTTTTTGGCCCCCACAACTCCAGTATTCAACTTTGACTTCTGTTTCCTTTGATCTTTGCCCTCTCTGGTCTCCCCAATGTTTATCCCTCGTGTTTGAATATGAATAAAGCTGCACTGCTTGGGCCATCTATATAAATTAAAAGGAGTATGTTTCCTGCTCTCACTCCGTAAATAAGACACCCAGAGATAAATTTCGAGAGCTAAAAGCTACATCAGTTATGAAACAAACCATTGTCATTACCTTGTGTCTGGTTGGTCAGTGCATCCCTGAGCCTCTTTTCCCTTTTTCTGCTTCTGACCATCAGGACTACTAAGATAACAATGATTGCTAAAAGGAAGAAACCGAGGATACCAATGACAACCTCCTTCCAGCCAACAGTGTTATCACCTCCATCATTCTTAGGCTTGAATGGGGGCAGTGTAGGGAATCCTGTGAAAAATCACATTTTAAAAAATCAACTATTTATTTAGTGGGCAATTCCAGGCAAAAATGGACCTGGTTAAAATGTAGAAAATGCAGAATATCTTTCAAACTACAGTGCCTATTAAAGCTGTAAATGTGGTTTCAGACCAATGGATGAGAAATCCTATTCATTTGATTTGATTAATTTAATTAATTTGATTTTGATCAGGCATTAAGATGGGTTTTTGGGAAGATGAATGTTAAAGATTTTATGTAGTAATTTAAGTAGCTTGATTCAACAAACAAACTCACGTTCTATTATTAGATTCTCTTTTTGGGGTAGAGAGAATGGTTCTTATTTTACTTCGCATCCAAAAAGTCCAGGTTTGATTCCAGAGCAGGTATTTGACATCTTTCAATGACATTTGCGAAAGGAAGAGCATGATAGTCATGCATTGCAGACTACGGTTGGAGTGGACTTTAATCATAACCCCCAGGGTGTCTGTAAAATCATACTGAAAAGGAAGGGTTGCTGACTATTGGGGTTACAACACAAAGTCACAGGAAAATTTCCCTTCCTCTTTAACAAACCCATCACGCACAAGTGACACGTATTAGAAACCACAAACCCACAAGCAAAAACTTGAACATTTTGCATTCCACAACTTGCCAAAAACATGCCTCCTCTATCTCTCACATGATATTTGTTCACACTGGCCTCCGCCAACAATCAACATTCAAGTACATGTAGATTTCTCTTCACCTTGTTCACTACTGAAACTTAACTTTCCTCTTGAAGTGAGCTGCAGAAAACAATACAAGAAACATTTGCCTACCTACAGGGTCACTCCCGTTTGTGAAAGGAGCAGGTGTTGGACTTGATGTTTCCTTGTGCTGATCAGTGGATGGATATTTAGTAGTGTCTGGCCGAGTTGTTGGACTGAGCGAGGATACTGGTTGAAAGAAACATTTGAGTTGAGGGTAAAAGAGAGAAAAATCAACCGACAACTTGTATGCCATGGGCTCTGGCTTCATTTTAACAATTTAAACTTCAATTCTGTCTCTCGTTTGGTGCAATCCTAAATTATCCAAGATACAGGACAGAATGCGGAAATCTTTGATTGCCTCACCAGGAATGCAGTCTCTGTCCCACATTGCATTGGGAGGCCGGTTTGGGTTCTCCTGTGTACAAGTAAAGTGAATTGTACAGAAAATGACATTTCTGCAGCATCGCACTGAATATAAAATGGTGCAAAGCATAAGTAATGAAATAGGCAGGCAGTTTTGTTCCTACTTTTCTAAAGCCACTTTCACTGAAATACGAGTGTCATCAGTATTGGATGACTCAACAAATGACATGTAAGGTATGAGAATACTGGCTACAGCAACATGATTGAGGTCTAACTCCACCTCATTACGTAAATTTGCTTGGCACCTTCTGGTGATACATGCGATCAGCGAAAACCTTTTACATGGTGAGCTTTGTGATTTGGGTGCATATAAACTTCCAATTAACATGGACACGCTCATTTGCAGATATATTACATTTATGATTCTAGGTTATCTACAGCATGAATCTAGGTTGTCTAGAATCCTGAATTAAACAAACAGCGACCATGTGAGCCGTTTTTGCAGATCACATCACATACGTTTTTTAACTTACAATGTAAACTTTCAAGAGGCTTCAAAGCCCCAGGAAGGTGCGTGTAAAAGTGACTCAATCCTGAAAAATCTTCAAAACCTTCTATTTGAGCCTTTGAAGGACATGTATCTAAGGGTTTTGGGAGAGGACAGAAATGGAATCAGTATCTGACGGCATTTAGGGCACTTACTATCATTCCAGGCCCACATTCTGTCCATGGCAAACACTCGTCGCAATGATTCCTGAAGTCCAGAAATGTCCCCTTTTCACACGGGACGCACCTTGAAAAAAAAAATAAATACTTTGGAAACAGTGCAGCAGTTTCAGACGGGATTTTCAGTCACTTTGTTTGAGGTGTTGAGAATGGAGGCATAGGCTTGTTTGGGCGGCTTGTTCTCATAAATTTTTTTCCCAGCGATTTTTTATACCAGCAGCTATTAAATATCAACATTTGATAGACTCTTGGCAGTTTGTTCACACACGAGGTCTTCAAGGGAATTGACAATACAATCCCCCACATGGGTCACCACCAATATACGTCGTCTGCTAGAATAATTTTTCAGGCCGACGACCATTATGCCACTATTGCGCATGCGCGAATACACAAACTAAATGGGTGGTGCACAGTCTATAGGGACCAAACATATGTGCAGGGATGTCGTATGTAGTCGCTTGACTTAATTCGAAAGTTGGGGCTTATGGCACTGACTGCCCAACTGTTTAAGGGAGCGGGAATAAGACTATAGTTTGACTGCGCATACGCAAACCGAACACAGCCGAATCATCAAAAAAGATTCGGAACTTCAGGTACCATCGGGCCATCAAAAAGATTGGATGCTTTTCAAAGTCAGATGCTTTCTCAATTCGGATGCCTTTTCAATATTCGGATGCTTTTTAAAGTCAGATGCTTTCGAAATTTGGATGAAATGCGGGTGCGGAACTCAAAACTTTCGGCTGTTTATTGTCGGGGAAAATGCATTCGAATCTGGAAAACGTTAGGTCTGTCAAATTTCATTCTGATTTCAAAAACATGTTAGGTCTGAAAAAATTTACTTGCATCTTAAAAACATATTAGGTAAAAAAAAATTTATTCGTATCTTAAAAACATGTCAGGTCTAAAAAATTTCAATTGAATCTTAAAAACATGTTGGGTCAAAAAATTTCATTCGAATCTTAAAAACATGTTAGGTCCGTAAAATTTCATCCAAAAAAGATGTATTAGGTACGAAAGATTTCATTTGGTTTGGAAAATGAATTAAAAAACTTTAAGTATGGTCTGTTTTAAAAACATTAGATTAAAAAACAATTTAATTTTTAAAACAGCATTACATTTCTCGGAAAACATGTTCCGATCTTTGTTACTCTAATTCTGCTTTTTAAGCAAGCAACATGAAACACAGTGGCATCCATGTATGTTCTTCAAGGGTCAATGTTTGGATAAATGTGCTGAATTCTTTCTTCTGGTATTGAAAGGAACATTCATTTTTGTGTCATAACTCATGGGAAATTATTACTGTAAATGTTGATAAACTATTGTCTGCTGCTATATAAACCATCTCCCTTTTTTCCGGCTGTTCAAAAATCAAAAGTCGCATGAGCTTTTCTGTGTGTTCCTGTAAAACCCTGATACAGAGGTGGTATGTGATTCTGTTCCAAGAACAACATTCTTGGGTCGTGTTCCCACCACTCGACTGCGAGAACAAGAAACTTGTGTCAAGAACAGGCCACCTGATCTTGAAAATGGGGAGTCAGGCTGGCGTAGCGGTTCTTCCTTGTCCGTTACCTCTCCACCTTCTGCAGCTAGGGTTTGTTTCCCAGCCCACTCCACACGTGGACTGGATTATCAACCTTTTCAGTCCCTACCTGATTCCATGGGTTTGACCCAGATTGTGTCTTCCAGGGTTTTCCTCCCACAACTAAATTTGTAATTGCTTCTGTCTCCTCTCTAGAGATTTTGCGAGCTACGGTAAGTGCCCGGGCACTTTGATGGCTGGTTTCTTTACCAGAAATACTCATTATCATTCGCTGTCATGACCACAGATACAGTCCATTGTAGTTAAGAAACTTGATCAGTGCCCAATGAACAGTCTGAAAGACATCGTTCATTTCCATATCACATTTTGGCAAGAAAAAATCAAGCAAGCTGTGATCTCAACTACCACATACGATACAGATTGTCAACTCTCACGGTAGAACCTACATTATAAATCAACTGAGCCGGAAGTGACCAAATCTGTGCCGGTTACTGGGGGGATGGGGGAAGAACCCAGCTCTGGTCATTTAAACAAGTATGTTTATCATGCTCCTGTGTGTGGGTGGGGGGAGATAAAGGGGTTGCTGGACACCATGAGACTCGGGGACACCGTTCATTATACGCGTACACAGGCACATCTTACTGTATGTTTTGATCACACCCTTGAATCATCTCCCTTTTTCATGCATTTTGATTGTTGGGAAGTTCACAAACTACCTCAAATCTGTTTCTGTTTTCCTAACAACACAAATGTGGGGGGGGGATCTAATAGCTCATTAATCCCATCCCTCCATAATTGACAACCTTGGAGGTGACTTTCTGTAATGAAAGCTTAGAAGTGAGGAGAGTTGCAGTTTAATCCTTCTTTGTAATCTTATCCACCCACAGTGGCCCACTGAGTGTTGCTTGTTTCAGCCACCCATACATGTATTTAAAAATAACCACCAAATTTTAAAATCTGGCTACAAAGTTGAAATAATTATACTATTTAATTTACATTCTGTAAAATTTCATCTTTTACAACAATATTTTGATGAAAAAGCTGTCTGTGAATGTGTGAAACTGCTTAAAATATTTATGAAAACAATCTACTTGGATGATAAAGCTTTGTTTTAAACTCTAGAGCATTGTTAACCACTTGCCACCGGGGACTCCGGAAACATAGGCCTTATATTCTAGGCTGGGGTTTCAGAAATCAGGACTTTATTGAAAAAAAAAGGTTGCTGGGCGTTTTTAAAAAGTTTATTGCTGTCAGTTAAAAAGTTTAGGCCATCATTGGAGGTAAATAAATTGCTCATAGCCATTAATGGGTTATTGGGGCCGGAGAATTGGAACTTTATTTTATAGCTGGGGTAACCAAACTTATAAAAGCCTGTCATAAAATTACGAGCTGCTGAGAGCCGCCGGGCACTGCCAATCAATCCCCGTATTCTTTCAGTGCACAGCGCTGACCATTAGTAGAGGTAATCCGTGTACTGTTTGTGCAGAGCGCTATTGTTCGCGCTGCCAGGCGCTCGCAGCGGATTATCACTGCACTGCACTGAAGACAAAGCACGGGCTGTGCGGGCTCATTAAGCACTTGTGCCCCATGAATGACCCGGCCCGGGTGCTGCTGGCCCTTGCCACATTGACTGACAGGGCTTGGCCCTCGCTGCTTGAGAATAAAATCGCCGTGCAGTGGCTACAAGTGTGCATATTGGGTATCGTGTTATCAGAGCACAGACAACATGGCTGAAGAGTCCAGTTCTTCCAGTGAAGGCGAGTTTTATCTCAGTTCAGACGAAGGTTCTTCGTCTTCTTCATCACCGCCGTCACCTGCTTAAGTACAGAAATTGACAGTGATGTACCCTTGGTGGTATACGCCAAGCGCAAGAGACAGTCCCCTACACAGACTGCTGCGTCGACTAGCAGCAGTGCCGCACTGTTCCGAGGGACAGATGAAGACAGTACACCGCTGAAGTACGGCTTCACCTGGAATGGTGGTGCCGTCACTCCCCACCTGTATCACAGCTCAACCTGCAGTGAAGCCTTTGAGCTGTTTTTTGACGATGTTCTCTACAACAAGATAGTGCAACTGACCAACCACTATGCTGTGCAGAGGCCCTCTACGACATCGGCGCACATGCGATCATGGACTGATCTGAACACTAGAGAACTGAAGGCCTTTCTGGGCCTTGCATAATGACGGGCATTGCGAAGCACCCCACCCTTCATAGCTTCTGGTCCACCGACCCACTACTGAAGATGAGCCTATTCCCGTCCGTCATGCCCCGAGATCGCTTCCTTGCCATCCTGCAGTCCCTGCACTTCAACGACAACACTGCCATGCTGGAGGACTGCGCTGACCGCCTCTTCAAAGTGTGCCCAGTCGTCGACCATCTTGCTCAGCAGAAGTTTGCCACTGTCTATGTTCTTCAACAGGACATTTCCGTCGACGACTCCATGTTGAAGTTCTACAGGCTTCTCCACTTCACTACCTACAACATGTACAACCCCATAAACAGGGCCTGCTTTGGCATCAAGATGTACAAGTTGTGCCAGAGCACCAGGAGTGTCGCCAGGTACTGCTACAACTTCAAAATCTACACCGGCCAAAGTAAGGGAGACCTCCCAGCAATTACACAAGTGGTGATGGACCTGGTGAGCGACCTAAACGGCAAGGGCTACAACCCGCTGAAACTCCCCAGATACGCAATCGATACGCTTCTATTTTCCAGGGGAAGAGTTCTTAATATTAAGTATAAGAAAAGTTGCACTCAAAGATTCTTTAAAAAGTTCAAAAACATGTACAAAAGTAGACGGGTCAGGAGCCAGACTACAACTCTGGATTGTGCACAACTGTGATGGCATGGCTGGCAGCACGGTAGTTGCCTGAACCTTTCAAATAGTGTCGCCTCGAAAACTGATCAAAGTAAGCTACAACTAACTTTCACAAAACTGGGTCTTCCTCTCTTTGTAGTTTCTTCTCAAATGCATTCATATCGATGGTTTATTTTTATATGCTTTGTCGTGCTTTACGAGGGCGATTTTTGGTAAGACTGTGGCACACACACAGTCTGGGTGGCCGATGCATTGCGTGCATAGCATTGTACCACATGGCAGCCAATCTTTTTATTATTTTAGTCACAAACATCTTACCTTGTGATAATGAGAATGAGTTTGGAATGATTTTGTGACTTATATTCTGTTTGACAAACATTTTAGAATCTAGCAAGTAAGTACCAACAGCGGTAGGGGCCTGAGTGAATTCAGTTAATTTTCAAGTAGGCATGCCTGTTTTTGTATATGTATACGTAGTATAATCATACATGTTGAGTTAAAACCCAAAGAAACTATTCAGATTGAAGTTTTTTTTCAAAATGAAAACTTACATGTAGGTGTAGGCCTATCAAGCTGCCGTAGTTTCATTGATACACATCCAAACAATGTTGCACCATGGAGCTACTCAAACAAGAATAAGCATATGCAAAATACAACTGTGCAGTAATGGATCAAATATCCCATAGTTTATTGGACATTTGCCCCTTTCCTTAGCAAAACCCAACAAAAAACACAAAACGAAGCCCCCACCCCAAAAAGTAGTGAAAAGGGTGAAGGTCAGTCTCAAACTGATAATTTTGCTTTTTACAATGCCTTCTATGACTGCTAAGCTGCTATACATGTACTTAACATAATAAATGTTAAACAGCGCCCTCGATGTCAAATAATATCCAGTCACTCCCCCCCTACCACCACATCCAGCACGTTGGGCAGATGCCCCTACCCTCTAATTACATCCTGGCTAGAACGCTGGATATGAGATAAGATACTAAGTTATTGTCCAAATGTCAGAACAAGACTTCCAAATGATGTCATACTGTCCACCTTGGTGATATTTTGAGATGTCACTGCAAGATCACAAAGATTTGTAACATCGGACTTGTGAAAAAAAGGCCCTGATTTTATATAATAAAGTACACATACCAGTTGTGCTTGCCTAAACTAATTTGTTTTCTTTGTGGCTCAGGCTGAAGATCGCAAGATCATTTGTCGTGTGGTGCTGTGTCCGCCATGTTGGATTTATTTACATGCAAGTTCGACTGGGCTTTTTGAATTTAAGTTAGAAAAAACTGTCATGCTTACCTTGTGCTCAGTTCAATTTTATTTGACACGACATACGCATCACGTTTCAAAAGGGCTTAACAAAACAATTACCCACTAAGGTGTCCCTCTGTCAATTTCAATTTTCTGAAAAGAGAATCAGTGCTTCCATAAAACAGATATGCATGGCACATAGCGCATAACATACTGATTGAGTCCAGTTCTACATGAACGGAAGGAAACATCTGCTCAAACATTTACATGTACCACTGTTTTTGGGAGCTCATTTCTCTAAACATGCTGAGATTTAAAAATACTTACAATTGGTGCGGATCCACTGTTCCAGCAGAACAGTTGCCTTCTGGGACCTTAAGGTGTCTTCCTTGAATACATGCGTTCTCATTGCGATGGGTGCATGAATAGAAAAACTTGTCTTCTGCACTTTCCACCATACACTGTAGAAATGTTAATAAATAATTGTAGAAACTTTCACTTTTCTGCAGCTTTTCACAGAAGCAAAAGTGATACAACTGTAATCAATACAAAAATATATACATGCATATCAGCCAACACTTCATAAAAATCCAGGCTTGTTACCTGTACGGGAGAGTGACGCAAAGAAAATTGTTTTTTTTTCAAAATACTGTTATTCCTGACAAGACACACACCATGCTGAATACTGCAGGAATACTATCGCTCAACATGAACCAAGTCACACATGTACCATTTTGTGATGTCATGGCCATGTCTGCACTACACTGGATTCTAGCCAGTGCTGTTTGCTGTGACATTTTGCTACCTGGAGCAAACCTCTAAATCCTCTCTGACGTCCCTCGGAGGTGACAGATGAAATGTTTCATTCCACTCAGCTTTGCTCCGTTTAACAGAATATATGTATTTCTTTTGTCACCTCATGCAATTATTCTTGCCAAGGCACTCATAAACATTCATTATTTGTACATTAGATGTTTAACTTGATAGATGATACTTTTTCATCTACTCAGTGTGGTTTAAGAGCGAACCAGCCATACAACTCAATTGACACTGATTAAATTGAGGGAATGACTTTTTTATTCCGATGAACTTATGAAAGACAGCCAACGAAGGTCACGTATACAAACCTTGCTCGAATGTTAGGTAAACACTCGTAAACAAAAACTACAATCAGTTGTACATGTAGATGCAAGTAAATTAGTGGGACCCAATTGTCTTATGCATTAATGAAACCCTGAAATCTATTATTGCATTTGCGTCATTGCTCTGTACGTGTGCGCCTCACTCAGAAGATGCACTGACATGTACATGCTTGTACTTGTTGCATGTTAGCGTACATAATTATTCATTCTGTCTGACTTCCTGATTGATTTACAAGCACGCACATAGGTTCAAAACGTCAGCATTCAGCTAGGGCTGCGTCAAATTTTCTCATCATTTAATACATGTATGACGTCGATGATCCCACCCATTTAACTTTGCGAGTTTTTTGCGACAGGTGAATCGCACCCGGAATAGAGTGAATACACTTTTGGACAGAAACCTAGGACAGAATGAACATCCTTGACGCAAAGCCAATTGATATCATATTCGAATTGACTGGAGGAAGCCAGAAGTACAATGTACATGTTCATGTATGTATCATGCACATAGCAAATGACGCATCCTCTAGCCACTGGCTTTCATAAACACACAAGTTATTTGAAGACTCAGTTGTAACTTCAGATGCATCTTCATGCAACATACATGTACGTACCCAGGCATCCCATGAGACCTAATCAAGACAAGAAACTGGGTACACACATCATGCTTTCAAGTTCAAATAGAACAAGGTGCGTGCAACGAATGCTTACAAACCTAACAAACCGAGTGCTTACAAACCTGTGACATTTTTCTGCTCACTCACTTTCCTCTCATTTCCCGTTGCATTTGAAATCTCGGTGCTTTTGTCGTACGTGGAAAGTACTAAAAGTATCAATATCAATCAGTGTGAATAGCTGAAATGTTTGCGCATTTCTGTTGAGGGACGAGCTACAGCTGTACATGGAGGCTTTTTCACTGGACCTCAAAAGGGCGTATCAGAGGCAATAAAATCCACCTGTATCACCAATGGGGGGGGACCTAATTGGCTTATCCGTCAAGTTGAACTTACCAACTGGTGACACACAGTGTAAAATCTTTGACATTGATGCCAGGTATTGCGGAAAAGCTGTCAAGTGAGAGCCCCTTATAAGAAGGTATGCGAGGGGCCAAGAACGACAACCATGTACCGTGTATGTTACGGGATAACTGACTGGGGAAGAGCAGCGTACATGTAAGTCTGACTTGATTCAAGTCAAAGCCTACAGAGAAAGAATTCAGTTATACTGCTGCAGCTCATCACCTTTGGGACAGTCTTACAATAGAGGGATTTCACATTAGCGCCGTCTGCGCATATCTGCATCGAAACCGAGGCTCTCTGTGTTGAACTTCATCGCGCGCCCGCGGAGTCCACACAGTACATGGAGTATCCGGTTCCTAAGTGTGACGCCACTTAAGTTTAAACCACGCCCACTGCACAACATACACGACCATCCCAGGTACGTTAGTTCGCGGTCAATTGTCGTTATTTTTTTTTTGATTATGTGTCGAGTTAGCCTGAAAGACTCTTCCACAAAACTTTTCAGCCTGAAAAGTCTGAATTTAACCTACCTTTATATATTTTGTGTCTTGACTCCTTACTTTCAATCGTCTGATCGTATTAAGAATTGAAGCAGACACATACAGCCTCGTTTTCAAATGCCGAAGTGCGCAGATTGACGCTAAAAGCGTCGTATTGGGATCCCTCTATAGCCACTGAAAAACCTCATATGTGGTGCCTTTCAAATGAAGTCCTCAAACACACCCCTTCATTCAAGATTTCATATTGATACATGTAGATAGCTCAGACCCAAGCACACTGAATACATGTACATGTAGTTTCCTCATGGTATTTATCATTACCGCCAATTTTGTAACTGGTATGCTGACAACCCCTGTAAGATTACATGTAGAGGTTGCTGCCATCAACGTGAATATCCAGGCTGCTTGCTCCATGATTCACAGAGTCCCTGAGAACCAATGTAAAGGATAAACTTGATTAAAACAAAGACATTTCAACAGAGAAAAATATACTTTTCTACTGAATGCTAAAAACGCAGTCATGATCATGTCAACACATACATGAATGATGGCATCCCCAGTTCCGAAAAGGGGAACTGTTTAGCATTTTCAATGAATCCCAGCAACTTGGTGCTTGGTGTTATGACAACAGCATAATGGACAAATTTCAAAGTGGCAATTAAAGCAGCAATGGCAAACACTTCTTCAAAGGTCATGTAAAGGGCCAAGAACCTGGTGAAACCTGTGATGAACAGACACTTTAAGAAAGTAGTTGCAGGACAGTGCAAGACTTATTTACAGGTTTAGGGCTGTGCCGAATATCTGAATAACCGAATATTCGATCGTTTGTCGAATAGTCGAATTTTCATTTTTGAATTTGAATATTTGAATGCAAAATTAATGAAAAGCGTTAGGAATCTTATGATTTACAAAGTAAATTATTCATTAAACAGATGAAAAGGAATGGAAATTTGTAACAGGGCAAGAATTCTTGTTCACTTCTTCAATCTTGCAAGTGGTTGGAGATACTCCTACTGTAGATGTGAGAAGCTATTATATTGATCATAATATACCATTGTGTGTGTGTTAAAGCAACTGATTTTGTATATGGTTCGTTCATCAACAATTTGCTGGTCGGTGTGACTGAATATTCAGATATCCGATCAAATTGTAGGTTGAATATTCGCAGAGTGAATTATTCAAATTGACTCAGCCCTATACAGGTCCAGCCAACCTGTCACGTGATGGGCACTAAGGACTGAGGTTTTATGCCAGTAAACATCGTAAACATACATGTACGTGCATATTAATGAACATAATACTTAGCATTTGAGAATGGTGGCATTTTCATGGGATAGGGGCCGCCCACAGAGTATGTATGCATGAAGGGGGAGGGTTGGTATACCATGCGTACAGAGAGAGAGGGGGGTTTCAAGTCAGTGCGTACCGTGTGCGAACCGAAACTTTCCCTAAAAAATGAAACATCATATCAGCACACTTTTTTAGTTATAGGGCCTACAAATAAAATCCAGAACCAGCTTTTGTGCATCCAAAAACCATTCAAACACAGTACTCTCCACCGTGCACCCCAACATTTATCCTCCCGTGCCAACTCCCGTACATGTATATTAGTAAACTGCAAAGACTGGCAGCGTCAACGGAATTGTGGAATGCGTATGCGTAAAGGGAGGAGTAGGGGTCTGAAAAGTTGGCATTTTGTGCACACATGTACAGTCTTTATGGACAGTCCATAAAAGCAACAGTATACACCAGCGGAACATATCCGCAACTCAGTTAAAGGGGTGCTTTTTAACTTTGTTCTTACATGTAGCTCGGCACCAGGCCTAGTAACTTGGGCACTGTGTACTCCTTTTTTACAATGATTTTTTTTACTCAGATGGTCTGGCTGACCAGTACAACATTCCGAGTCAGTGTCGGTAAAAAAGCCACCCCGGATACTTGGTCTAGCCCGGCACCATGTTGACAGCTTTTTACATGTACAAAGCAGAAGTTTTATCATATTACAGATAGCACTTCTGATGAATGTAACGCAAACTTCTTTCTGATGTTCTGCAATTCTTTTGCTGAAATATTTACATGGACATGTGCATGTAGGCAACACTTGACTCTTGACACCTGACAGTCTAAAACTGTCGTGGAATTGACGCTACAAACTATGGATGTCCTTGTTCTTTAATGTGTACCAGTGCGTGAGGGGAAACTACCGGTACAAATGCATCTAATTTGCGAGAGTCTGATGAACGTGATGTGTATGTAATAGTATAAGTAGGCCCCTGCATTACATTCCTGGAATGCACCGACAAGACTGGCAGAGACCTCCCAACCAAACTCAGTTAAGATGGAACCCATTGCAGGAAAGGAGAATGTGACAAGTCAGCCATCATCAAGCACTTCCACACAGAAGACTACCTGATCAACTGGAACCAAGCTGAACTCATTGCCAACATTGAACATTGGTACCCATGCCACATCAGGGAAGCCATTGAAATCATCAAGCACAATGTTTCCAAGACATCAGCATCAACTTCAGAGACATCCTCACATTGGTGTACATGTACCAGTCAAACAGGTCTCCTACGTACATGTATACTGAAGGATGCCTCCCAGCCTATGAGTCCCTACACCCTAGGCAACCATCCCCCACGGTCCTCTCCTTTACACTGACACACCTCACTGATCCTCTAGCATCCCATGTTCTGCTCCAGTGCTCTTGATAGGATGGATCCTAGTTGTTATTGTTGTCCTTGTTGTTTTAATGGCGCTTTCAGTAACTCGCGCTATTTGCGCCAATAACTGTACGTTTATTCATACACTTTATTAATAAGCATCACATTACGGAGTTAAAGAAGAAGGTCCAGTTTTAGAGGCAGGAGGAAACCGCAGTACCCGGGGAAAACCTGCGCAGAGCGAGTATGGACTGGAAACCAAATGTACTTAAAGCCTGGGCCAAGCCGGGACTCGAACCTGGGCCTCATTGGTGCAAAGCGAGGAAAGAACCGCTACACTAACCCACTCCCCCGGATCGATCCTACATACATGTAAGTTAGCATCATCTCCATGACCTCCAGACACCATACAGTACATGCATAAAGCAAGGACCCTTGGGTCCTTGCTCTATGGTACATGTAAGCTGCTTTATTATGTTTGGGTCTGTTTGGTAGAGGGTCCATGATTATTGAAACCTCTGCAGTCAATCTCCTGATCATGGACAGAGCATAAAGTCCGAAACGTTGACTGCCTCTGGTTCTTTTTGGAAACCACACCCACATACTCACAAAAGAGATGTGCTGTCCCTGTATGAGTACCGCCAGACAGGTACATGTATCCTTGTGTAGTGCTACCGCAAACCTTTACTTAATTTGCCACCTTCGTCGTGAAGAGCTTCAAAGAAAATCTGGGATAAAATAAGTAGAACTTTCATGCAAGGATGTAATTCATTATGGACAAGGGCAGGGATCATTTTGTGTTCCATCCCATTTTTGGTGTGGCTACACGTTTGTGTACATGTACATTTGAAATGCCCTTGGGTGGAACATTCAGCAGAAAACGACAACATTAGGTGTTACATGTAGGTTACGCAAATGCTTTTGTACCCGAACCTAGGGACAGACAGACGAGGAGGCAATCAGAAAAAAAAAACATATAGTGTGGTACACGTAGCTTGAAGTACAGTACATGTAAATGTACGCTGAACATGTACACAAGACATCGCATATGTCCCAATCCGAAGCCATGAGCTTGGGCTGGAGTTACCCAGGCTACAAACAGAGTAAATTTCTCAAAACTCTGGATGGAATTTAATATGCAGGTGCATCTACATGTATGTTCCAGCATCTTTTAACCCTAACCCCCTAGGGTGTATGTAAAATCGTATTGAAATTGGAGGATTTGGGACCATTATGGTTAATTAAAGCTTGTTATAGTTTAATCTAAAACTGTACAGAAAATGGAGTTTTGTTGGGTTCCATGTATACATGTGCACAGTAACCTTGGTAACTCTTCATCAATCCCGAGTTTTACAGCTGGTTTAAATGTTCGGAGTAAAATATTACTTGGCTCAATTTCCGCATAATTTTGAATAAATCGCGTCTATGACACCTGTTCCCAATGTTTTCTTACATGTTGCAGTAGGCTAAATCATAAATGTTTTGGAATTTTCTTTGCTAAATTTCACTTTTTTAGGACATAGCCTATTAACACTTTCTGACGGCTGTTATAACATTTAAAGGGAAAAATTACGGTTGTCTGTATAATGGAATTCTTTCCGAGGCCGCCATGACATAAATCATGTGGCGCACGGAATTTTCCCTCTCCACTTCGTTAATCCATGGTAAATCACAAGTTAAACTTGAAGTATAGCGCATAAAATATTCCCCAATTCATCTAAACCTACAACACGCTCAACTTCCAAACACGCCTCGAGTGATTTGTAATAAGAGTTTGATAAATTAGTGTTTAAAAAATTCCATAAAACTTACTAGTCCGGGGAAGGTGGTAGTTAGGGAATTATTGCCTTATTTTCGCTGGTTCTCATGCAGGTTTCCGTCCGACCGTGTACAGTGTGAATGTTTGTCGCCTTCTTCAATTCAGTACACAACAATTCCAAGCACAAAACTGTATATTTTGTGGAAAGACTCTTTGACATTTAATTTTTACTCCTGAAATATATCATCAAAGGCCCAATCATTGGTTTACAGTCGTTTAAAGGAGACCTGTCCACTGAACGTGACAGCTTTTTAACGAATTTTTCAGGAGTCGAGTCCGGAGAGACTGCGCACGTAGCGCAGGGTGCGGCAGCAGAGAGCATTATACGTCCAAAGAATATTTACAGTGTTAAAAATCTTACGCTAATATTAAACCACTATATAGTGTATACTTGTTTAATTAAAAAAACTTATTTAATTACAATTGTTAAAAAATTATTTTTAAAAATGCCTCCCAATTCGATGCTGATGATTCAGAATGTACTTTGTGATACGAGGCAATAAAATGACGTGACGTACATCTACACAAGCGCTTAAGCACGTACACACGTGTAGTCGTCGCGCACGTGCAGACTAATGATGCCAAAATTGGCTAGTCTATATGCAGGGCGACCGGAGCACCTCTAGCATATAGCAGTGAACGGGCTCTGTACGTAAAATGCCGCAGCGTAATTGGACGACCAACACGACCGACTAACGATCGACTTAATTTGAAGTCTAACGGGAAACAGGTCAACTCGTACCCGGAACATGTCTCGTCCCAGGTCAACTTGTAAACGCAAATACAACGAAAACTTGATAACAACTTGTACCGAACTGCCGGTACTTACGATGGTGCAGCATCACGTGATGGCTGTAAAAAGCACACGGTGATATTTCACGGTTGAGTTGACCGAAGTCGAGTTGGCAAACGGTCGAGTTGTCCGGACCCTCCCCCCATGCTAGCCGTGGATTTTCGTGAAATGAAGCCACGAAATGGCGCAATAAAAATCGGCGCGCGCGACAAGATTTGGTTCGCGCGGTAGCCCAACTTACACGGATTTTTTTAAAGTGAAGAAGAGGATTGTATATCGTAATTAATAAATTAAAATTAATTACAAAGTCTTTCTTTAGCCTGTCCAAGCAAAGCAGCCAAAAAACAGCCGCAGGTGTACATGTACATGTAGTGAGTGCACTAATGAACGTTGGTGAGTTACTTTGGGTGCGTTCGATTACACGTGTAAGTCAAACTTACACGAGATGGAACGAGACGGGGACTTTAAGTTTCCAGAATGCCTTGGAAAACACACTGCAGCGTTCGATAAGCCTCATTTTGAGGCTTCCCTTGAGTGTAATACTGGTGTGTTCAGCCTATTCGAACGCACCCATGGTGGTAATCATATCGTATACTTTTTTTAGCTTTTAGCGTCGATCTGCGCACTTCCGCGTTTGAAAGCGAGGTTTGCGGCGGCAGGCACGTGCACCTGTGAGCCTAGCGCCCATTACTGCAAGCTGCGCAGGCGTGTCGCTTGCTCAAATGGCGCCTATATTCGTATTTGGCGCCTATTTCCATTGTATTTGGGAATTGGTAGAAAGTGATTCTTGTCGTGCGTAGTCATAAGTAGGCCGCGCGGACATCCAGGAATTTCACAATAAAATACGGGTAGCAACCACACCGCGCCGGTGAAAACAACTGCAACGAGCGCGGGCGTACGCGTACGTACAGATCAAACAAAAGGTTGTACATGATGATAACCCGATCCTCAGACTAGCTGGCTGGTGCGTGCGTACGTCGCCGGCGCCAGGGTCGCTGTTTTCACCGCCGCAGTACCTGTCGTTTTGCGAGAAACCCAGATGTCCGCTCTGCCCCATAGTGAAACATCAAACCACTTAGGCCTACATATGATCAAACTGCTGAGGAAAAAATCTAGGCATTCGTTTACAAAAACAAGTAACAGGCTTCCTCCTTACAAACGTAAAATACTGAACTATGGACGTCCATGGGACTTCTTACCCCACTGGCCGCGGATGGACTTCCATCAATGATCTAGCAGGCTACGCCTACGTGGGACTGAATCTGGGTCATCTCTTACTAGTAGGCGGGACAACTCGTACCCAAGTCAACTCGTGCCCCAGTCAAGTCGTTCCTTGCATATTATTATCATCAGTGGATAATCCTACCAATGGCTGACATGCCTAGTGCCCTAGCTCTTCTAAGTTGAGCGTTAACAGTAGGCTATTCCTCATTTAGTTTCACGATTTTGGACGGGATCGTCCAAAATCGTAAACGCTCCACTCAGTAATAGTAGAGCCATGGAGGTAGGAAATATGCCCCTGCCCACCCTGCTGGATATGCCACTGTTATTTTCCCTTCGCCATGTTCACTTTCACTTCATTTTGCCCGTAAAAATCTCCTATATCATAGCAAATTTTAATTTTACAATGATATAAACATCGAGGTTTGGTGTGATATAACAACACACATTGGCTAAAAAATTACTTGGGCATCTTCAGAAGTTTTTTTCGGGGGGGGGAGACGTCAATAACAAACTGCAGGGGGGGCCAATTTTCTCCTTTTTTTCTCAAGCAAATAATTATTCTATTTCATTTCTAATTTTCATATCTTTGGCTGTTTCCTCCCCATTTTTTTCAAGGTCCCCTCTTGAAGTTTATGCATAAGTGTAAATGAAAAGGCACCGTAATCCTTTCAACAGGCAATTTCTAAGCAAGGAGTTAGCCCCAGACTACTGGTCAGTCTACTGTGCTGGACGTCCCTCCGTAGTCGAGTGGCTACCATGGAGTCAAAGTGGGCTGTCCCATTTCCTAATATGGAAATTCATCCCCCAAAACAGATTTATTTTGTTGTCTTTGTGTTGGAAATCAAGGTTGGTGACCCATCTTCACTGAGTTCCACCCTGATTATACATCCCAGAACGACGGCATGCTACATAGGATTTATGAAACTACCGAAAAATATTTGCCGCGGGTGAAATTGAAATCTCGCCACTTAGAGCTAGACATTCAATGTTTCAACTCAGTCGCCGTGGAGAGAAAGTAATTCGGGAATTGTTTTTGCAAGTTGCCCTTATATATGCTTCCGTACTTAGGAAATAGAAAGACCACAATTTTTGTTGACAGACAAGAGTTACCAGGTTTAAAACAGAAATACTGTTTGTGTTAAAATGGAAAATAAAGAAACAGACAGATGGCTATCATGGAGTGGCGTCATATTCTATTTAATACTGTGATCATTAACTCTGTGACCAAGAAAGCAGTGGGGTCAGATGTACATGTACATGCAACAGACAATCTCTGTTCTCACAAACAAAAGGTAACATACTGTAATCTTTATTATGACAGTAACACTACACAAAACTTTACATGTACAGGTTTTTAATAAAAACTGAAAAGCACATAGGTGATACTTTTGCATTTTGCTTTCCAAAATTGAACAAGCTTTCCAGGCTATTTAGACAAAAAATAATTCACTTCTCACACCGTAAGAAATGAAATATGTGGAATTTAATGTACCTGTTCTGTTCTCCAACATTTTTCAAGATAATACGGTGGTCAAATACTTCGACTCCTGCATAACCATTTGGACTTGATTCATCAGTGAGGGGCTTGTGTGAACTAACTGAAAAATGTACGTGTCTTTTTGAAAAGAGTAAGGATATTTAATGGCATACACACAGTGAAACAAAGAATAACACAAGAAACTACATCTAGGCATCGCAACAGACAAAGATTTTGTTGAGAGGGGTACAGCGCTGTAGCCCTGTGTTAAAAACATGTACAATGGTACGGATTCAGATGTGCTTAAGTAGGCCCCTTTCAAGCTACAGGATTTTGACAATATAGTAAATGTACAATGTTTACTCGTATACTTTCCTATTTGTGTCTTCCCTTGCTCATTTTCCACGTCTTTTTCTCCGAGTGGGAGCCTTTTAAGCGTTTATCGATGAACTTCCAGGATAAGCAGCTACGAGAGACAAGACTATGTGCGACGAGACAACAGCTTGTTATAAACCTATTCTCAAGAGCAGGCTGAAGGTACGCAGGACACAACAAAACCAAGAAGTGCCCAAGAGGAAAACCAGCCAGGCTTGACTGCGATGTTTCTCACCTTTTCATTTCAGAATATAAATGTTTATCTCTTTGGAAAGGGGCTGAAGGCAGGGGGTTCCCCCCAAGCCGAGCAATGTAAGCAAACGTGATTCCTGGTTCTAAAACTGTATTCAAGACCTTGAGTAAACCATAGAGGCAGGACACAGGAGTTACAAACTCTGGCACTTCAAAGTGTTCCGTGATAGTCACCGCAGAGTCAGACGAATAAAAGAAAACATTCCAATGCCCGATTACTGCCTGCATCTTAGCCTAACAAGCGGGGCCGGTAATATCGTAGCAAAAGTTGTAGTGTTTTGCTTGCAATTAAATACAAATTATTGCTGTGACCAGGAAATACAGAGAAAAGTCCTTGAGTAAGAGAACTACTTTACCGTCGTGAAAAAAAAAGTTATTTTGATACACTGTTCCATTTTCTATGAACAGTTTTTAATTTAATTCCCCTCCCAAAAATACATCAGTTTTCAATTCGAAGACTAGGTACGAATTTGGCTAAAAGTAAAGACTGGCCAACATAATGTTGACCATTACAAGAAAGCTAAGTACATATGGAGTAAAATGCGCTATTTCATCAAACGGAGTGATCACGACATCTCGTAAAACACACTTTTGTACAAATGCCGTAACAAAAATGATTCAAACAAAACACAAAATCTTGTAAAAAACAGAGCTATTTATTCACAAAATAACCCCAGAAGAAAGAGCTCATTAAGGGCAATGACTGCACATATAGTTTTAAGCACTCAGCGTAATGGCAAGCAAATGCGCAAGCATTACACTGGATGTTGTTATGAGATCATACCAAACACCGACAAACCATAAAATATTCAATTTCCTACAACTCAGTACACGAAGTTTTAAGGATGCAGATGTGGCGGCGTTCAACGGCACAAAGGGGTTTTGTGGTTGTGAAACAGATGGCGCGTAGCAAGCGCTTGCTGCGCTCTGGCTATGGACATACCGAGCATGCCAGAAAGCGGTAGCAGGCCAGATGTTACAGCCAGGGCAGTTCAAACTCCTGTGTCCTTCCTCTATGAGTGGATGAGCAAAAATGAAAGCAGCAGGTTGCTGGTGTACATTTGACTTGGCAGTTGATTTGATTTTTGGGGTAAGATTTATGAGTGGCTGCATACACTGCTATGCAAGGGAAGTGTCAAATGCTTATCAAGCAATGTATAAGTTCTTCAGTAGTCATTTCAGCGTGCTGCTCTCCCACACATTCGCACAAGTATTATACACAAATCAAACATGACTAAAAAATTTTGATTTGTTTTAAAACGAAAGTCAGGCTTTGTTACTTTGCCATGTACATAAACTACAATCCTCCAACAAGAATTGAACAGCAAACATTTCTATGCAAATGGCTGGGCAGTGATCAAGCTTTCGAGCTCCAAATGTGGGCAAAATCCTCTTGACTTGATCGTTACACAGCCTGTTGGCACCCTTTTAAATAAACACAGCTCTAGAGAAGTTTTGAAACATTTGTGAAAAGACTTCACCCGTGGTTTTGCACAATTTCTTGCCTGTGACAGAAGAGAGCCCCGAATGAGCATACATGTATCTCGCTTTTCAATTCTGATCCTGACCACAGAGCTATATTAAATTACTAGAGTGTTGGCGTCTCTATTCCTTCCACAGAAAATCTATGACAGGGTCCTCATCAGTGCCGACATTTTGAAGTCAAGTGTACGCTTGTGGGATGAAATGAAATAATACCGAACCTTTTTAAAACTATGCATTATATATGCAGTACATGAGTACATTGTATAGATATATGTGAGCATATTTTCTATCAGTAATATGCCGCTTTATAAAGCTGCAGCAAATTTCACCTGCAGAGCAGATGCAAGCGTGTTGGTATGGTTTACGTCGAGCACAACCAATTGCTCATTTACTGATTGAGCATTTAGGTTTTTGGCTTGTCAACTTTGTTGACACATTGTTTTAGAGTACGGCTGCAGATATGCAAATTGCTGTGCAAAAGCCGTACAAAATTTCTCATATGATGCCCGAGTTGCGGCAAACCCCCCCCCAATTGCGGCTTCTTTTGTGTTGGTGGAATCTTTGGAATTCCTTTCAGCTTTCTGAGTGGGGTGCAGTAGGCACAATAGCCATAGGGTATACGGCTTGTGCACCACATGGGGGGTGCCCCTTTACCGTATAATGTACTGGGAATCAAATTTCTAGCTTTCCATCAGCCAAGCAGGCTTCACGTTGCCGTGCCGGTTAGCGCTCTGGTTATTTAATATAGCTCTATTATCTTAGCACATACCACAAAACCAGATACGTGCATTTCTTGTCTTGTTTGGCCGAACAATTCCAGGACGTTAGATGTTCAAAAGAAAACAAGCGAAGTCAACTGCTGGTTCGAGTTACGACTTTTTTTTGGATATTTTGGAAGTCTCCAAGGCCTAAATATCAAACAATCTTCTCCAGTTCTTCGGCATCGTCCGTGCTCAATGAGAGGATCTTCCGACCTGCAATCAAACCACAGAGAAACAAGATGGTTTCAACTAACAGTCACAATGTATGCAGCGCAGACGAATGAGAGGACACAACTCCTGGTGAAACCATGAACGGATCCATGGCATCCAACAGGGACCATCACCCCCCCCCCAACAAAAAATAAAGCAAAGTTTTGATTCTGGTAAATAAGGACAGAAAAGGTATTTTTGGTCTGTTTCATCTCCAAAAGTGTTGAAAAAGCCTATTCCCGCCACACTGCTCAGAATGACCATAAAAGTTCATATGAAAAAAATTGTACATATTTCTTTGGCCTGCAAAACAAGTTGGGTACCCAAACAGTGTGGTTCTGAATCCGCCCTTGGATGAAACGGTGTTGTCGAATGCTAAGGGGGCCATCCATGTTTTTTTCAATCGTTTTCACCTGTGTACAAACTAAATGCTGAGGGGGACGGGGTTGCCATAAACACTTCTCAAGAACAGTAACAACATTACCTAGCATAAAAATCGTCACTTTTCCTCTTCAGTTTGTAGGCTCACGGGTAAGGAAGTGAAAATGATCGGGGGAAAAAAATGGATGGTTCCTGGTTCTTTGAAATGGCATAAAGTCTAAACTACACAGACAAGGACTGACAGAAAGTGATTTGTGGCGCTATATTTTACACTCTGACACAATTCTGATTCCTGTTTGGGGCTTTTCATAATAACAGGAATTGAACGCAAGGGATGGTCCGTCTCAGCCCAGCATCTCTGATAAATTGCTCGGGTTTCAGCACCTTTACTGCCCCTACTGTACACCGCTTGTCCGTTCTAAGTGAACACGGTCCCACTGGAAACCACGGTGTCAACTGTGCTCTGTTCATCACACTGCGTCTGTGTAATTGGGTCCTGGCAGATGGGATGCAAGTCCTCAGACAGAGATTACGGTGGACGGTCGATAGTTACAAGGAACATTTTCAACTCACCAAAGTGTCGCTCAATTTGCTGGAGGATGTCCATGCTCCTGGGCCTGTCCACAAAGTTGATGGCCAGACCGTTCTTGCCAAAGCGTCCTGTCCGGCCAATGCGGTGCAGGTATGTCTCGCAGTCCGCCTGACCACTGACGTCGACTGGCAGGTCAAAGTTCACCACTACAGTGACCTGCTCAATGTCAATGCCTACAGGAAATAATTTTGTCAATAATTTCCATGTCGGTGTATCTCAGAACAGTACATAATTCATTCATCTGGTACGTATAGTTGGATCTAACTCTCGAAAACTTTGTGAATGTGACAGTGTCTACTTTTGTATAATTACACAAAAGTAAATTGTCAAGCATCAAGCTCACATTTTAATTCTAGAACATTCTGCTTTCTAGAACTAAGTAACACAAACATTTTGGGTTCTAAAGTCTAGCCCCGTTTGGTTATAGAACCGACAGTCACAATAACATTTTGGGTTCTAGAATTGAACACTCTTCAGATTTCTGGGGACAATGTCTGAGAACCTTGCCAGTACTTAGGTTATGGAACCAAAAACCACATTAACATGCTTGGTTTATAGCCCCTTAGATTTTAAGGTTCTAAAACCAGTGCCATACTAGCATTTTGGGTTCAAGAACTTAATACCATAAAGACCATACGGGTGCCACAACTGGAAACCTTATTGAAATGTGGGTTCTGGAACCAGGAACCAAACCAATGTGCCCGGTTGCTGAACCAAAATGCCATTACTAACCTCGGGCCATGACGTTAGTTGTGATCAATATCTTTTCCTTGCCATCTTTAAAGCGCTTCAGGACAGCCAGTCGCTGCGAGACCTCCAACTCTCCGCTGAGCAGCCCCACGGCATGACCGTCTCGAGTCATTTTCTCTGCCAACCAGCTGGCTGTTCTCTTGGTCTGTTTGAGGTGTAGTGAGAACAAATCTGTCAGCTCATGGTAAAAAAGTTCGGTCAATTAACCCTAACTCTATCTGCCTTGAGCAGAAGCACCTCCTTGTCGTTCAACAAGGGGTGCTCCATTTGTTGGTAGCAATGAGACCGTGACAGGTACGTTTCCCAGTCGTTCATGAACCAGCAACATTCAGTTCCGAACAGAGGAGCCTCCGTTGCTTAGAAAATGGCATTCTCTCTTAATTCGTCTAGCTCGAGGCCCATAGGAACTTCCTAAAATCAGCCCACTGCATCACTGCACACTGGCCTATAATTAATAAATTATCAGTGTAAGTGATTGAAATATGTTGAGATATTTTCAGAAAAGGCTACATGACCTGACAGAGCCAGGGCCCAGAGTCATGAATATCCAACAACTGCTATTTGTCGGGTTGGAGTTGATGTAAAGGTGTATTACGAATTCAGGTTGGAGAGAGAAACAAATCCGGAGTAGTGCAAGATGGAGGGGACCTCGCAGAAAGAAAGAAGATTTCACAAGCCAGGCATTTTGTAACCATAAAAAAAATCAGTTCAGAAACTATGGGAAGTCGGGCATATCTTCCCCCGTCCCATTGTGAATTATGAAGCCCTCAGGTCTGACCTGAAAATACCGGCACACTTTTCTATGGCCCACAATGCAAATCAGTACCAAGACTTCTTTGCCCCATTTGACATGAGTTATTAATTGGTAAAAAGAAGAAGACCATAAATGTATTGACCTTTACCCTCCTCAATCCTCCAAAATCCTTTGGGCGGTTTTGGAGGATTTGGCAAAGGTGCATTAGACCGTATGTTGTTTGCACAAATTCATTCCGATGTTTCTTTTGAATCAACCACACAGCTCAAGAATGCCATTTGCACTGCCTCAACACAACAACAGTAAATGCCGGAGGATTTTGAAGGATTGAGGCAGTAGGCACACCTCCAAAAAACATTTTCAAGAAATTTTGGAGGATTGAGGATGGTTCCTAGTAAAAAGGCCTAGGGGGTTAGGGTTAATAGTGTAACATGCCAAGACATGATTTTCCACTGAAAAGGAATAAAAGTGAAAGAAGTGTTATGACCTTTGCAAACACACAGGATTTGGGATTAAAGTAGTGATGGAAGCTCCCTTTATTGCTCCTAAGTTGAACAGACAACTTGCTTTTACAGCTATCTATCCTTTAGAGATTAGATATTAAGGAGTGGATGCAGTAATATGAAATCACTTGACTAAACCAACAGAGACAGGAAAGAGGTGGACGGCAAAAGCCTTTTAAAGATCAGGGGTGTGGTTTCAAAGCTGTGACCAAAAACATGTTCTGCTCTGGTCATTGGTTGGTCCTTTTTGTGTGATTCTGGTCATGCCTTTGTACTGTCATTGTTCCAACAAGAACCGAAAGGTCGGAGTTGGAGTTTAAAAATGGCAGAGAATAAGCCTACGGTTCATTCCTTGTTCCAAAACCAAAAATGACATTTGCCGACAACACTGTCTCCTATTGTGTCTCTGGCAAACTACCGTTTCTTATTTCAACCTTTTTATAGACCATCTTAACCATGTTGCTGGTTACTGCTTTGACTTCACAGACCTGCTTCTTGTTAGGGGTATCAAAAAGACATCCCCCCCCAAAAAAGCAGGATTTATCCCGCTGACCTGGCAGAAGATCATGGCTTGACCGATGGTGACGGCTCCGTAGATGTTGGACAGGGCTTCATACTTGTCCTTCTCTGTGGGGCACAGCACGTAGAACTGCTTGATGTTGTCTAAGCTCTCTTCCTCCCGCCGGAGTCGGATGACGACTGGATCTGACACGATCTTATTGGCAAACTGCATGACCGAGTCCTCGTAGGTGGCTGAGAACAACATCATCTGGCAGGTGTTGGGAAGTTTCCTAATCAATGAAAAAACAGAGGAAGTTGCTACAGTGATGGCACTTTGGACTGCTTACTTTCTACTTCTGTTGCACCAATCTGCAGTATTTGGCAAAGGAAACAGACCAGTTCACAAGGGGTGCATATTTATGAGGCTCTGCAGTGCCTCGCTGACTTCATGAAATCTGAAGCCCCTTGTAGACTGTCAATGCCTAACGTACAATGATGTAACTAAATAATTTAGAAAGTCATTCCAGTTTTCGCAACGATAGGCATTACAAAAAAACAAGACCAGATTGCCATAAGCCTTAACACATTCAAATTAAGCTTACACATATTGAAACTGACATACAACATATCACAGCTCCACATAGAATCTGGTCTACATTGGCACAAATCTGATGATATTTGTTCAATCCCATTTCCCCAGGCTTCCAAAATTCCATCCTTGTGCAGGGCACCATTGGCCCATTCACAGCACTCTC